TAGCAAGCTGTAAAAGGAGACAGGAAAGCCTGTCATGTCAAAGCCATCATCACAACGCACATGATCGCTTTTCTTTCGCAAAGTACATTATAATTGACTCTTCTTTTCCATAAATTTAGATATCGCCATGGCTGATCAAACTCAAATCGCTCTCGTCCTCGTTGCTTTTTAATTTTTCGGAGGGCCATAGCAAACGCACGTTCGCGTCGTCTCATAAGGCTTCGTATGTTTTGTTTGTTTTTAAACCGGCGGAACGAGTTGTGTTAAAATACTATAATGATATACACGTTGCGCAACGATCGACCAGGGGACTGTGATGTCTCTGATATCGCACAATAGATTTCAGACTTGGTTCCTGCTTGATAGGATAAATGAATACTTCTCAGGGGCAAAACTTTTGCGCAAACATCAAAATATCTGGGTAATAATGATATTTGTGCAAGCACATGATTGGCTCAACTGACAAGCTTTAGATAAACCTTGAAATAAATCCTACTTTTATTGATGCTTAAAAATGCACTTTAGGTGTTTGAAGTCTATTGCTTCATGGTGTCAATTACATTCTTTTTGGCTGTGATCTTTGAAAAGATGTTTTTGGGTTTGCTCTTGAGAATTAGGGAAAGCTGATTGGAGATACCTTAATTGTGATTCAACTCTGTAGTGCTACCACAGCCACTAACAAGGTGTTTGGAATAGTTTAGGGGTTGCAAAATCACGGACACCAGAGAGGCAATTAATGGGAACTGGAGAACATCTAAAACTAACATTCTACCCAAATTTAACAGAGATACAACAAAGATTTGACCAAGCTAAGATGTGACCGTCATCTGAAACGACAATGCGACAAATTTCTATCAATTTAGGCGAACACTTGTGTAATTTCCGATCAAAAAGTGTGTAACAAACATATATCAATTCAATAATGCACTCTAACAATGAAGAGCACAGATAGATATTTAAAAGAGATCAATGTCCTAGCATTCTCAAAGGTAAATGGTGGACAGTTGTGACCTCTCATGTGAAAACATTCCTAACTGTAGCCGTTGGAACAGTGAACAGAACGGCAAGCAAACGGGTGACGAACGGCTAGGAAAGCTGTTGGAAACGGATACTGTGAACGGATGAACGGCTAATTAAAATTTTCGAATGGATGAGGTCAAACGGATGAACGGCTAGTGAAAATTTTCGATTGGACAAGGTGGAATGGATGAACGGCTAATTAAAATTTTCGAACAGATGAGGTTGAAGGGATGAACGGCCAATTAAAATTTTCGAATGGATTGGGTTGAATGGATGAACGGCTAATGAAAATTATCGAATGGTTGAACGGCTAATTTTTCGAACACTGAAATGAGCCTCACACATGAGATCGAATGGATAAACGGCTAAGCGGTCGAACAAGTGATCGCCTGTAGAAATTATTTGAACAGATGTTTTCGTCAAAATGAATGCTGACACAGTATTCAGGCATCCCAAGCTCTCGTCTTGAGCTAAAGCAAAGGATTATTTCATGAAAGCGTGGGTGA